GCCGGGGGACGACTTGAGCACAGCGAGTTGGCGTATGGAGCCAAGCACCCAGTCCTGTTAGGCAAACATCATCTGACCGAGTTGCTGTTGGAGAAAAAGCATGTTGAAAGGATGCACCAAGGTGTAGAAGGAGTCTTGTTGTTCATCCGTCAGAAATTCTGGATTATCGGTGGTCGACGAGCGCTACGCAACATTACTCAGCGATGTGTTACATGCCGCCGCTACAAGGCTAAGGCTGCCTCAGAAGTCTGCCCGCCGCTGCCAGAAGACCGAGTTGTTCACGAGAGGCCGTTCGCAACTACCGGCATCGACTATGCTGGTCCGTTGTACGTGCGCCGTGGCGAGTCATCTCCGAAGGTATGGATAGCATTGTTTGTGTGTGCCACCACCAGAGCAGTTCACTTGGAGGTGGTCGATAGTTTAAGTACCGAGTCATTCTTGATGGCATTTCGGAAGTTTGTCGCGAGACGTAGTTTGCCGTCTCGGATCAGGTCTGACAACGCTAGAACGTTCAAGGCGGCATCTGACAAACTGAGTGTGCCATGGATGTTCAATCCTCCAGCTGCACCATGGCATGGAGGCTTCTATGAGCGAATGGTTGGTACAGTGAAGAGTGCCTTGAAAAAGGTAATGGGAACAGCGTTTCTGAAGGTCCAAGAGCTTGAGACCCTCTTGTATGAGGTTGAAGCAGTGGTGAATAGTCGTCCGCTAACTTATGTGTCTGATAGCCTGGATGAGCCACCAGTAACCCCTGCAATGATGATGGGTAACATTTGGATGTCGTCAGCGAAGCCAGCAGGTACCCCGGACGCTACGCATATGTCAGCGAGATTGCGTTACCTCAGTCAGACACTGAAGCATGTCAGGAATCGTTGGGAGGTGGAGTACCTAAGTCAGCTGAACAAGCACCAACAGACCATGTCGCGCCCTTTAGCTGTGGGTGATGTTGTCTTTGTTCTCGATGATACCAAGCGCAAACAGTTCTGGCGTTTGGGACGGATCATCGAGTTATTCCCTGGTCGAGATGGCAAGCGTCGTGTTGCCAAGGTTAAGTTGAGTACCAGTACCCTGTTGAGGCCGATCCAAAGGTTAGTGCCATTAGAAGTATCGTCACAGGACGTGGCTCCTGGGCTTGCCGATACCGCTCAACCTGCTATCGTCCCTCAGCAGCCAGCATATGAACCGCCAGCACCGTTACCACCACCACGGCAGCAGGAGATGACGCGTTCTGGGCGCGTAGTCAGAGCCCCGGATCGTTTTTGACTTGTGTGCATTGTTGTACGGCGGTGAGAAGCCCTTTGGCGGGGAGAATGTTGCAAACCACCAGTTCTCAATTGGGAAAGGCCTTCGCGCTTATGGCATTGTATTCGTTGAAATGTTGTACAGTGGATATCGGTTATAAAGTCATCGGACGTAGTGATAAACCGGCTATATTGATACAAAATGAAAATATCAAAAGCAAAACCAGAAAAAGCCAGTCAAACTATCATTATAACCAATATATCGTATATAGCGATAAATCGGCTATAAGGATACAGAATCACCATTCAAAACACCTCTTTGTGCAGAAAAATTATCGTCTATAGTGATAGCAACACACGAGTGTGAGGCACTGATGTCTCGACTTGGAGCCACATGTGTGTTGTCATAGGGTATTCTGGTCTGGTGCTTCCTGGATGATGCCTTTGGGCCAAGAAGTTCTTCACTCTAGACTGGAGAAGGTGCAGTAGCATCCACCACGTATCAGTACGCTACATTAGCGCGATCGAGTACCCACACGTGTATAATGTGTATGTATGAAGCGTGCAGTTGAAAATCGCCTGTAGTGATATACCGGTTATAGTGATAAGTGGTCAAGCAATATGGCAGACAAGTTGGCGTTACTGACGGCAGGCGGATAATGCAGATGTGCCACCTGCTAAGCCTATTGCTCCGTGTGAAGCAGGAATGAAATCTGAGATTAAAAGGCTGATGCTCAGATTCATCCCGAGTCCAGTGACCAATCACGCCTTCCGGGACTCAATGTCCAGTCTGGCTCGCTCTGTTGCGAGGGCTATGTAACACGTTCTGGTCCCACTGTCAAGCTTACCGAGAAAACTGCTGGCATTTATGTAACATCACCATTTTGACTGACCATGTTGCATAACCATGCCAATTGCGTTTTAGTTGCTGGTTTAGTTTAGTTTGTTTTGTTTTGTTTGGTGTTGAAGGTTTGATTTACCTTAAAAGCGAGTTGACCCTGTCAGAAGATATCGACTTTGCTGCATTGAATTGACTGTTGCTCGATTCCTTTGCGATTTTATTGTTCTTTTCTTGTCTGCATTTTTCTTCTTTCCTTTTCTTTTTTCTCTTCTTTTTTCCTCAACAGGTTTGCACTTTCAAACATAATATTTTTTAGGGAAGGGGGTAATGTGATAGTCATGCATTGTACATCACGGCTGTAGTACTGATGTGCACAGTCATGGTAACAGTGCATTGCGTAAAGCACAAAAACAAGCTAAACGGCACATCGAACTCAGAATAGCATTTTAGCTATATTGTTGAATATCAGTACCAATGCAGTCATCGCGGCGCTAACTTGTGCACATCATGACACATCTAATTGGCAATGGTGGACAACTGCAGGTACCTTGTAAAGCTTTGGTTATTCCGAAACATGTTGAGCGAAAACTATTTATAAGCCATTTAGTCACCCAAAATTGTCATTGAGTAGTGCTCGGCTTTTTACTGGTACGTGTTTTCATGCATACTTGGCATGGAGATACATGCATACTTGGCATGGAGATACAGGAATGGATCAGAATTCAAGCAAGTATCTACTGTAAGGATTTATCCTTCTTTCACTTTCACTGCTTTGCAAGCAGAATCTGAAGTTTCTTCACCTCCTCCTTGTGTGGCAGAGAACTGGCGAAGCCGCCCTAGCTCCTTGCCTGGCTGAAGATCGTGGTGCAGCTGCAGCTTCCCTCTATGTTAACAACATCAAGAATACTTTGCAAACCAGGTCCACACTTGGCTGTATATACTGAGGGTTTTAATGTTAGAAAACAGACTTTAGTCTCCGTCTCTCTGCCACAGGTGATGGTACGCTCGGCGAGTCCGCATTCTCCGTGAAATAAAAAAATGCTGAATGACTAAACCAATATTATCATAACTAACGTACACCGAGGGGTACAGTGTGTGGACGGCTGTGATGTTGCTGTGGCCGTTCATAGCTGACCGGAGCGAGACAGAGAAGTTAGCTTTTCAGAGATGGCTACAGATAATTGAAGTCCGGATTTTGGCTAACCATATCCATGAGCTCAATAAGAGCCGAGCCAGCCTGATTTGCTAAGCAAGATCAAGGCACGATGCTTGGTTCACGAGATACGAAGCCTGCAGGATACTTCATGGCACTTTGCATTTCTACGCCTGAATCAAATGCTCCACACCTGGGGTTTCCCCTTTACAAGCTATCTAGGATCTCGGTAACAGGCTCAGATATCTTGGAAGCTCTCAATGCGTCCTCACGGAATTGGGCATCCTGGGATAATGGAGATGGACATGGCGAGCGGCTTTCGTGGGACGACGCAAGTCCAGTGCTGAAGCGATGTCTCTAGCTTATTGCGCTGGTGCTGTGCTTTATTGGCTATCGGATTTGGGCGCAGCGGGCTGCTCGCCGCCAGAGCTTTCCAGAAAGCCCAAGTTTGTGGAAGTAGGCAAAAGAAAACAGAAACTATTCTCCAAAGTGGGTGAAACAATTGCTGGTATTGTTGGTAGTACTGGAGATGCAATCTATAATGGTGTCCTATTGTAGAGGCTATACATTTACCTATCCTGCTCCACAATCAACTCTAGTTTGCTGCAAACGTCTTCTGATGCTCCTGGCATTCAGATAACACCACTTGCACAAAATGACTTTTGTGATAAGGTCGGTTTTGTCATCTGACGGCTTATTTGGTAAATCATTTCGTCAATGCGCGATGCACACTAAGTAATTTATTACGTGAAGTAATGCACTCAGCACTGGATGGGGCAACACAATCTCCAAATTTTCGATCACCAAGCCGCTGGCTACCATGAGCAGGTAAAATATTTTTTTGTGTCTCTGTTTCTGTCGTGTTCTTTTGCTGGTAGAACGCATAACTTGGAAGCACACCCAACAAAAACATTATGTGTTCGACAGCATTGACAAACTGTGGACTGTGACCTTAGAAGCACTTGGAACAGTGAAAATGATTGGATCGTGTTCTACCGATGTTTCACTTACCAGCTCATCAACACGTGTTGCAAACCTGGCGTACAACACTACAGCGAAGCTGGGAAAAACCTACTTCACGTTTCGGGGAAATGACAATGCCATTCTCAGTCGGTTTTCCTCTGGCAATCCTATTGGTGTGGTTTTTAACGTGTCTTGTACCGTAAGGTACAGCTCTGCCGTCAATTGCAACCCAGTAATTGTTCCTTCACTTTTCCATCTCTCACCAATAACTCGTTCAATTTTTAATGTCAAAAAATTTCCTCCGTATGTATGCCGGCAGAAAGCGCGACCAGTTACAAAGAGCTTTCAAGTACTTGTGCAAGGTAAGGATATACTGATCATGTCAAACAATGCTGTTAGTATACAAATAATCTACGTGGAGATAAAAGTTTAATAATAGCTATGAAAAGTATGAATGCCGCAGACATCACCACGCAACATGACAATTAATTCAAGGTTTGAGATTGTGTGTTTCCAGTATCGATTTTCAAGCTCTGATCACCAGTGGAAATACGGAAATAAAGTGATCAAGGGAAAAAACAAAGGTTAAAAAATCCAAAGAAGTGTGACACATGACGCGTAAGTATTACAAAAAGTGAAGGCTAAGATAAAGAGTAAGTGTATCAAATGGGCATGAACAGTGCAGAAACAACTCATGAACACGGGGTGAAAACTCACGAAAATAACCTAAGTGCTACAAGATGTTCTTCTTGCTTACACAAATCGTGCTTATGCGTACGAATACAAACAGCTTCAAGGACCTTCAACTGCTGGACATAACGGGCACGACACAGTACAGAGAAGTGGGAATCCTCATACACACTCAAACAACCGGGACGAGATAACAAATGCAAGTACACAGCGTACTTGTTACGAACTTCACCCTCATAAGCTCCATCACCTTCCCTGCAACCTGACTCCTCCTCGTCCGTTTTATCACCATCACCACCAGCCGTCTCATCGTCATCTGCCTCGTCGTCATCGGCCGCCTCGTCATTATCCGCCTCGTCGTCATCTGTCTCTTCGTCATTATTCGACTTCACAGTAGGAAAAGACGGCCAGGCCTGGACCAAGAAAGACAATATTATTCGACATCACAATGGGAGCAGAGTTTTCACCATCTCAGGACAGGAGCCAGGACATTCCTGATCTTCAATGCTTTCCAACCGGTGGAATACATTCCTCGGATATACATCTGCATGCATATCCATCTCTATTATGTCACTGAACCTAAAACCTCTTGTCATGCACAGAGCGTTTACACTAAATTTACAATGGATGCAGCGAAGGGAATTTTGAGTATTTATTTGGTTGTGGGTCTGATCTACTGACCTTCCACTACTTTGAGAGCTGCATCTGCGCCTTGATAGACAGAGGGTGAGTTTGGCGTTCCTTCGGATGCGGAAAACCCAGTCAAACTCAGTCTCACACAAACCGCAAATACTTATTACCAATAATGGCCAGGCCTGGAAAGATAACAACACATTATTCGACACCGCAATTGGATAAGATTTCCAGGCCTGGACCGAGAAAGATAAGTATAGAATGTTATCGCATGGTTGCGACGGCCTTATTGCATATTATTGCTCCGAGAGGTTAGCCCAAAGGCCGTAGGCCCGAGGGCTAACCGTGAAATGAGTTGTGATCACTTTCTCGGCCTTCCCTGGCTTGCCATGAAAGAGGTATGATGCGAGGAAAGCGACCATTCACAACAAGCCGATCGGAATCGATGGTTGCGCTGTGGCAACACAGGTGATGACAGTCATGGCGAGCGAAACTGAAATACCACTTCTCCGAGAGATAATGCGCTGCTTGGCCTCTCTACTACTCTAGCACTGAGTATGAGAGCGATAGAGAGCGATGGAACGGAGCAGCGAGCCCACACAATGAGCGAGTGAACAAAGTGCTGCTCCGATCGCACGGCTCAATGAAAACAAATTTGAATCGAAGTTCTTGTTCAAACTGCTTAAAGCCGAGAATCGAATGCTGATGAGCATGCACACTTTCAGAAGTCTGCAGTCCGACGCGAGTCTCGTGGCTAAGGAAAGTCGACTGGACTTGCTAGCCGCTGCCGTTCAGTGTTGGAAAGAGTATCCATCAAAGAAAAATGGAATCCGTTTGGCTGTGCCTTTACTCCTCGTTTCGTGGAGTTCTGGTGAGCGGAGATGAAACCAGTGAGTCGTAAAATAGTTTCACAATTCCGTTTTGGAAACGAGCAATCCGCGGCTACCGCGGCGGATCAGCCAACTTACTTGAAAGCCAACTTACTTGAACCACAGCAACATCAAGTTAGTTCAGCGGAGTGTGATCAAAGAAGCCGAGGCAAGGCTGAAACGAGCTTAACAACGACTCGTGAGAGAGATGACGACTCACGTGCAGCAGATGACGACTCGCGTGCAGCAGATGACGACTCGCGTGCAGCAGATGGCGACAGCGACGCAAACTGAACTCTCTGCTCATTCCGCCAACAGTTTCTCTTGTAAAGACACAGTACATAGGCTGAACTACCAGTTTGTCCCGGAGTGATTTGCAGTCGATACAAACTGTTCTTGATCTGTTCTAAGCGTTTTCATATCCATAAAAATCCATCACGAAGTTTTTGTTACCGGAGGAAGTATATAATATGAACTGATTTGAGGGAAAGAGACCAACGGGAAAAGTCCGAAGAAGAAATTGACTGTCACCACCAGGACTCGAACCAGGGACCTTCGCTTGTAACCAGCGATGCTCTAACCACCGAGCTATGGTGTAACCGTCATCCCAGCAGAGGCCGTAAAATGACTTGGGGCTCCCCGTGTGCTAGTTTGTGCGTGAAGTGTGTCGGTTACTGTGAGGGCTGCGTCCCATCCGCCCGTGTAGATTCACAGGGAGTGTGAGTTACGAAGTCTGAAGAAAAAAATATCAGTGTTCTAGTCAGGTCAAAATAGTAGGGGGCAGGCGGGAATGGGAAAAAGTTACCCCATGACCCATTTTTTCCATTGTCCAAAATTGTCTTGCCATGCAAAATGTAACATACGGGGTGAACGCCCGACTTCAACCCTCACAAATGTGCCTTTATGAACCCTCTAGTAGTGACTTTCGACTGTATTTTCGTTGAATGGCGTGAAAAAACACAAAAAATCGGAAAATGAGTAGGGGTGGTTCACCGGTTCCCTCGCAAACCCACACTGACATCAGACACAACCATTGGAGGCATCGATCTATTTAGAAGACTGTATTACCAAACACACCATTGAAGAATCTAACTCAAAAAAGAACAAAGAACGGAGAGCTGGGGACGCACGTACCCGGCCCCGTACCGGACACACAGCCAAGAAGGACGACACCGTAGCGTCCTCACGCTTGACTGGCAAAGAAAACAGCAAGCAAAGAAAATTGGCCAGCGGGCGCAGTTCAAACATCTTGAACGACACGCTCAAAGCAAAACACGCGACAGAAAATAATGCATGATGTCATCTGTACTCATGCGGACATGCAAAAAAGGTCAAATCTACACAAAGCGAGTGCCGCAAGAAACAACACAAATAAATAATAATTCAAACAAAAATAATTCCAACCGCGAAGAACTAGAAAGGCCGATTTCTAATTATCGAAGAACAAGAATGCATCGTAGAGTCCCAGCGCAACTGCCGGAGGATGCTGGCACCCACCAGATGGGTGGTGGTTGCCCCTGCCAGAGAGATAAAACGAAAACTGAAGCAGAGGAGCCACGTTACAAATAGTGAAACGCACAAGGTAAGAATAATCGAGCAGTGTCCAATTACGACATACTGAGTACTATACATGTAATACACGAAGACAAACATTACAAATGGAGAACGTTGCAACAAGGGGGGCTGCACTATTTCACAGGGGCGCAAACAGAGTAGGGGGGGGGGGGGGGGCGCTGCGCCCCCCTACCCCCCTTTGGCTAGAACCCTGAATATATATATAATTATACTCAATCTGCGGACTGTTTCGTCCTTTGTGGACTCATCAGCACAGCACAGAGGAAATGAGGCCGAACCTGATAACAATGAAAAATAAATTTTCCAACCCCAGATTTAAACCAGGCCCCAACGTACCTTGCCAAAGTGCTCAAACTGACAAGTCAGTGAGCTCTGCATAACGCAAACAGAAAAGGCACTACCCCATGCAAGATTGCTCAACTGCTACAAGAGCAGGAGCAAAATACTCCATCTGCGGACAGGACTCTCTCTCTCTCTTTCTATATTATATATACACTCAAATCTGTGGACAGCAACTGTTTTGCTCTGTTAGAGCTCCTCAGCACAGATCAGAGGACCGAAGCGCAGCTCTTCGCAATGAAATACGTTTCCGTGAAGCAAACCATTTTTATAAAGAGCTGCACATAGCCAGCAACCGCATGTCACCACGTACATTGAAAATCAACACAATTTTTGCGAATCGATCTTTTTTTCAAAATCACTTTTCAACGAGGACGAAGCAATGTCGGCCGAACGAAGCCTAGAGGAAGAAAATCACCCTCTCCACTTCACCATCACGATACTGACATAGATACGAGATGAAACAACTAAATAATCCACAGGAAAACTGCACGGCCATCATCGCGCTGACTTTGGTCTGACTTTGGTCTGAGAATTTCTATCACGATCAAAAATGTACGAGGAGCACTCAAAAATAAGCCACAGACGTACCTTTATCGCTCTCTACTCCTTTTTCAAGGCACAGAAGTCGACTCTCCACTTTCAAACCAGGAACCAGACATACCAGTGGTCCTTTTCAGCTGCTCCACGAGCGCAGGAAAGGTTCACCAAGGGGCGCAGAGCAGCATCCATTCCAGAAAAAGAGGTAAAATACGAGTTAGCATTCCGCGCACGCAGACGGCATGCAGGCAGGCATACATCATTAGCATTCCGCGCACACAGACGGCATGCAGACAGGCATACACCACACGAATAAGGCTAGGTTGTGTTGGGTAAGTACTGGTGACGAGGAACTGGTTGGTCTTTGCCGCAAGGTAGGCACGAGCCCGTGAGGCTGCGAGTGCCGCAGAAAGGCAGAAGCCCGGAGGCTGTGATTGCCGCAGGAAGGCAGAAGCCCGGAGGCTGTGATTGCCGCAATGGAAAGGCAGGACCATAAGGCCATAATGCCGCAATAGAAAGGCAGACCAGTTATGAGTGACTCGCCACCAGGTTTATTGTACTTGAAGTAGGAATGATGCAATGTAGTATTAATGGTTAGTGGTGGGATGGTGGGTCAGCAAAAGACAAAGGCAGCAGGATGCAAGTCGGGCATGAGCCAAAGCAGAGAAGACTCAAAACTGAGAATGGCAAGGAGATGTGCCACGTTGCGGACTCGGACCCGATCAAAACTGAATTAATTATTGTGATGGCGTACGCATAAATTAATGTGATGCACAGCAGGCGGTCTTGCCGGTCGCGGCAAGGCGCGCTAAACAAGTGCCGCGGCCAGAACCGTAGAGGGCGCTGTAGCGCAGCAGATACGTAGTTGCGAGATGTGCGCCTACGCTAAACTGAATTCATTACATGAATACATCATTAGCATTCCGCGCACGCAGACGGCATGCAGGCAGGCATACATCATTAGCATTCCGCGCACACAGACGGCATGCAGACAGGCATACACCACACGAATAAGGCTAGGTTGTGTTGGGTAAGTACTGGTGACGAGGAACTGGTTGGTCTTTGCCGCAAGGTAGGCACGAGCCCGTGAGGCTGCGAGTGCCGCAGAAAGGCAGAAGCCCGGAGGCTGTGATTGCCGCAGGAAGGCAGAAGCCCGGAGGCTGTGATTGCCGCAATGGAAAGGCAGGACCATAAGGCCATAATGCCGCAATAGAAAGGCAGACCAGTTATGAGTGACTCGCCATACCGCCAGTACATACCCATACACAACAGTATTGCAGTGCAGCATAGCATAGTTCATTATGAGGGAATTGTGTGAATTGAGAAACATCGGTGTCAGGGAGATGATCTTACTGAGGATAGTTTGCTGGCCAGCGTTCGGGCCGATGACGGTGGTGTCCGGATGTAGCGTAGGCATGCATCACTGCGCCACCGTCCCGCGGAGCGGATCTGGTGGTCGGGGACGCCAGCAAGGGCAGCAGTGGTAGCGGCCCCGATACGGAAGCTGTGGCCTGCATAGTCCTGCCAGTTTGCCACGCCGCTGGTGCTAAGCAGCGTGCGTACGTGGGCTGTAAAAGTGCTGTGGTTGAGGCGTTGCCCGTTGGCCAGGATGAACACAGCACTGCCTGGACGAGCAGAGGCGGTTGCAGTGAGGTAGGTGAGCATGGCTCTCACAGCGCAGTATGGCGGCACCGCTGGCCCGATCAGCACCGTCGTACCTTCCCCGGACGGGTCTGTCTTCGAGCGTGGTAGGTGCACATGGAGCATCCCTGACTCGAATGTCAAACAGCCGCGCGTGGTAGGTGCTTCTAGCAGTTCACCGCATCTGAAGAAACCAAAGAACACGGCAAGCATAGCGGCATGCAGGCAGCGCTTGTCGTGAGGGCACATGGCTGGAGCAGCTAGGCAGGTGTCAACCAGACTGCAGAGAATAGGAAACGTGATTGGCAGCCGGGGGCGGACAGCGGCTACTCCATGGCAACGGCAAATACCGCGTACCACTCGCTTGAGGAAGTGCGCGCCCTCGGTCGGGTCGACATAACCGAGCTCCAGGTGCAGGTTCTTGATAGCACTGAGGTAAACCTTAATAGTCACTGGTCTGACCGACTGGGTTAGGGAGGCAGCAAAACTACTCAGCATTAGGTCTGAAGCGGGAAACGGGGACCATCTTTGAAGTTGGCAGAACTTGAGATACTTAGATTCGCCGGCGGAATACGTTCGTCTGGTGTTGTCGGATAGAGCGTGAGCAGCATATCGTGCTGCTAATTCGTCCGCGGCAGTTAGAATGACTGGAACAGGTCGGCTGTCGCCCGAGCTCCCGGAACCGCCTCGCGAAACGCCTGCATGTTAAAACGAGACAGAGCATCAGCGGCTTTGTTAGTGCATCCTGGAATATGCTTTGCTGACAGAATGAAGCCAAAGTTAGCGCACATGAAGAACAGCCGTCGTATCAGGTCCATGACTGGGGGGGAGCGGCTACAACCATTGGACAGGCATGCCACTACGGCTTCGTTATCGCAGTACACGAGTATGCGGAGCTTGCGCCATTCAAGGCCCCAGGAGGAGCAAGCTGCGGCAATGGCGAACATCTCCTTCCACTCGATGGAGTAGTCGGCTTGTTCCGGCAACCACTGTCCCTGGATCCAGCGATGGCCATAACATGCGCCCCAGCCGATCGAACCGCTGGCATCGGTAAACAATTGGATGTCGGGAGACGGGGTCCAATTTGGCATATGAAAGAAGGACTTTCCGTTCCATTGCGAGAGGAGGCGTTGCCACCACTTCAGGTCTTCCAGGGCCTCGACTGAGAGTTTGATCTTATAGTGTGGCTGACTGTAGCGGTGACAAATATCCCAGAGTCGGCGCATGAATGTCCGACCAGGTATAATTACCCGAGCTGCGAAGGAGAGTTTTCCCAATAGTGAGTCGAGTTCGCGTTGGGTCATGTCGCCACGGTTGACATACTGGTCGAGCAAGGTGCGGAGATCTTGCAACTTGGTGTCTGGTAGCCGGGCCTCCAGTCTGCCACAGTCCAGCTCGATGCCCAGGAACGACAGCACTTGAGCTGGACCTTCCACTTTGTCAGGTGCCAAGGGGACTTGGACATAGTTAAAACAGCGAAGCAGGATTGAAGCACGTTGGTTCGCCACCAGCTCCGATGGAGAAATGCAAAGGAAATCATCTAGATAATGGAGCAGGTCAGTAATAGAAAACTCATAGCGAGCAATCCATTCAAGGCAGTCGGCAATAGAGTTAAAAATGGCAGGGCTGGAGCGTAAGCCAAAGGGGAGCACAGTGTCGAAATAATATTGGTTTTGCCAGTGAATACCTAGCAGAGGCCAGTCTTCCTGCCGCACAGGTACAATGCGGAAAGCACTCCGAATGTCAAGTTTGAAAAGATAAGCAGAACGACCGTACTGCATAATGGCATCGATCGCGTGATCAATAGTGATGTAATGCAAGCTGAAATCTTCACGTGAAATTCCATCGTTAACACTTTGACCCTCTGGGCTAGAGAGATGGTGGATTAAACGAAAGCGGCCGTTCTTTTTCGGAACGCAGCCAACACCGGAGCAATGAAAAAAAGGAAAAAGCGAGGAGGAAAAAGGACCTAGCAGTTCAAAGCGGGAGCAACATTCTTGCAGGTATTTGGTAATAAAATCGGGATGCATCCTCGCAGAAGGTAAGTTAGGGGAGAACATGCTGCTTTGGCGTGGGCCATTGAAGCCGATGTCAAAACCATACGTAAGGCCATGAAGTACATATTTAACAAAAGCTTGATCGGGGTGTGCACGCAGTAAGGAACGGAGGCGATTAACGTGAATAGGTGTGCGGCAAGTGTGAAAGAATGTAGGGTGTGTCCGGAGAATGCTACTATCGAGATGCAGTTCATTAAGCTTTGTTCTGCCGCTGGTTGCCAGTGGAGAAGCGACGCGGGCAGGAGGGGCGGGCATGTGCGCCCTCACATTGGGAGCAGACGTGGGCAAATTTACAGTCGGTGTTGGAGCATCGACCTTGCTGGAAATTCCGGCAGATCTCTTTGCCAGACTTGGTGTAGGCAGACCGTGGTGCAAACTGCTGGTTTGGTACTCGGGAGGCACGAAAAGGGCACTGGCTACCCGATGGAGGGTGAGTGATCCGGCATGTGCTACACTGCGGGCGTGAGCGGCCTGTCATTTTCAGTTGCCAGAGATTGCCGTCAATGGCGTCCCAACGCTTACTGGGGTCAAGAGAGATTGCCAGACGGAACTCCCGGTCATATTCGAGCCAGGCCTCCGGATAGTATGAGGAGTTGGCCGATACAATGGTGGCCTGATATGCCATCAGTTCGGAGAAACGGCTGGGTGCGTGCGAGCATAGTACGAACATATATCTGGACCAGGCTTCTAGCCATGTAACCAGGTCGTGAACATGCCTACGAACTTTCTCGACATGCCCGCCAGAGCTGGGATCCAGCAGCTCAACAGTCCTGGACCCACTGAAATTCAACTGAATCGTGTCACGCTTTGGTGCCCCAAGAGCTTCCGGTAACAGTGTATTCAAATCAACACACTCACCTCGCAAAATCCTCTCTCTCACGTGAGACGGCACGTTCAGTGGATGAGATAGAGAGCCAGCACCCGGACCAGTTGGCGCAGCATTTCCGGTGGGTACGGCCATGGCGGGGGAAGGCTGCGAGGATCCGATGGTGGCAAGCAGTGGGGAGACCGTTTCTGCCAGGGCGGCGGTGACGGCTTTCTGGACTTCGTCAGATATAAATTGCTTGAATTGTCCGCCGTCGAGTGGTGAGGCAGCGTTACTCGGCAGCTCGGGGTCCGCAGCCGAAGAAACAGGTGGGTCGGGAACAGGGCTAGGTGCTGCGCGACGGGTTCTCTTCCTGGTGCCCGACATGACTAGGCAATGACAGTTCGGTCAGCAAAAGACAAAGGCAGCAGGATGCAAGTCGGGCATGAGCCAAAGCAGAGAAGACTCAAAACTGAGAATGGCAAGGAGATGTGCCACGTTGCGGACTCGGACCCGATCAAAACTGAATTAATTATTGTGATGGCGTACGCATAAATTAATGTGATGCACAGCAGGCGGTCTTGCCGGTCGCGGCAAGGCGCGCTAAACAAGTGCCGCGGCCAGAACCGTAGAGGGCGCTGTAGCGCAGCAGATACGTAGTTGCGAGATGTGCGCCTACGCTAAACTGAATTCATTACATGAATACATCATGAGACTGCATGCCTGAGTACATGAGTACATGTATGAGTACATGCAGAAAATAGTCAATTTCAGCGTTTCTGCTCCAAACAGCAACTAGCTTCGACTAGAAACAAAGATTACACCAAAGGATCAAACAACAACCATTTTCTGCAGTTTTTTTGCAGATGACTTCCTTGTGCTTGGCCCAGCACGCCAAAAATCACACCTCGGAGGAGTACAAAAATTACAACTCTCAGATGTCCTCGATTGCTGGCCCTGAACCCCGCCAAAAGTGCTCGAAATGCTCCAAGAGCAGTGAGCGTTGCACATGGCGAGCGGTAAGGGTTTGCGCTAAGGTAAGAGTGCTCAACCTAACGACATTGCTGGCTGCTAGGGAGCATAATACTCAAATCTGTGGGCAGCAACTGTTTCGCTCTGTTAGAGCTCCTCAGCACAGCTCAGAGGACCGAAGCGCAGCTCTTCGCAATGAAATACGGTTCCGTGAAGCAAAGCATTTTTATAAAGACCTGCCAACCCCGCCTAGAGTACTTGAAATGCACCAGGAGCAGTGAACGTTGCACAAGGCGAGCGGCAAGGGTTCGCGCTAAGGTAAGAGTGCTCAACCTAACGACATTGCTGGCTACTAGGGAGCAATAATGCTCAAATCTGTGGAGAGCAACTGTTTCGCTCTCTCTCTCTCTCTATATATTATTATATAATATACACACAACAACAAGGTTGTAAGTTTCATAACACTAAAAGCTTTTCACCCATTTTCATCAGTAGGTACATGGGAATGAGCAAGAACGAAAACGAAGCCAGAATTTATACTGGGGTAGAGAATCAGCAAGAATATTCTTACGCGCCTCAAGTTCACACTACACTACCATAAGAATGTATGGAGCAGTGGAAAAATGCGGGAAACAACACATGAAGGGAATGCAGTACCAGAACAAACACGTGATAAAGTTGTCAGTCCGGTTGCAGCTTGAACAGCCGCAGCACCTTGATGTGCTTCTTTTGTCGACACAGCTCTGGCCTCAAACTGCGAATGTACAGCGCCTCCAGTGTGAATCTGTGCGCATAATATAATATATATATATGGGCCAGTGCATGCAATACCGTGTCTAAGGGCAAATTTTTGGAATTTTTTTTCTTTCTTGAAAATCAATCACTGGGGTCTAGAGAACAACTCTGTGGAAGATGAAGCTGGATATCACATTTGAAAGTACATAGAGACCATGATTTCTATGGCATTGTCCAACATGGAATATGCCTTGTATAATGCATTATCTACAGCGTCGCTGAAAGCAGCAACAGTTTTGCGTATAAGCCTTTAGTATTGGCCAAGACATTCAATGAAGGCTGCCTTGTTATCCAGACAAAACCGGGCAACATTGTCCAGCAAATTCTTGCAGCGTTGACCTAACAAGAACTCGCGTTCCTTTTGTGCAAAGACAACATGGTCACGGAGTGGTTCCGTTGCAGACTTCTTTTCATCCTCTGCACGAGGAGAACAAATATCGTCCCGGAGCAGCGCACACTTGTTGAACACATCCATCCGTTGCGTCGTGAACACGATGGACTTGCACTTCTTAGTCCACAGATACAAACAAAATATGGTAACCCAGGGTTTGCGCTTCACCAGACTGCTCCACATGTTCAGAAAGGACAAACTTGTAGGCGATGGATGTAGGTGAGTTTCATGGGAGATTCCTCACCTCTCCCTTTTGGTGCAACAGACAAAGGGAGACCGAACACTAAGCTGTAGTTCAGTCTATTCAGAATAAACTGCTGCGCTCTGTCTCCCAATTCTGCAGTAAATTTATTCCAAGGCACATTGCCAGCTTTCCATGTGCACCAGGGTCACAGCTAATGTTCTCCTTGTCCACTTGCAGACAGTCATATTCTGCCAACCACATGGAGCTGCATAAACGCGGTTCGACACACGATGTGTCCCATCACAGTGTATCCAAACGTGATGCGCGTCCTTTCCGTTGCGGAAGCTGTCGACTGATGCACGACAGTCGATAGGATCGTCACGCGTGCAGCGCAGCCAGCGCACAAATATAAAAAAATGCCGAGGTCCTTCGATTTCATCGCCGAGATTTAGTCGTCGTAATGGAGGATTGCGCTCGACGTGAAGCTGCTGAAATGGTAGTTCCGAACGCAGCCACAGCCTTCAAGAACCAGTCAGTCCACAGCGGCAATGCTCTGAAGCGCGTCCTGAACATCGTCGCTTCCAGAGGCCACAGAATCTCCGCCTAATTCATCCGCTCTCGACTCGCCTTCAACCTCAACACAGGAGTCTTTCACTCCCGGACGCTTAGCTGGGGCTTCGTCAGAGTCACTGTGAGCAGAACAGCTGCTAGTTGCTGACTGCTCCGACTCACGACTCGCCAAATAAATTGTCGTCTTCCTCCTCGATAATAAACCTTGCCGATCTCTTCGGACGCGCCGACGATAATCACGCGAGCGGTACAGCTCAACCGGCGTGCTGCTCGGCGTCTGCCACGAGTGTGTCTACTCAGAGGCCCTTCCTCAAGTGCTAATTCCAACTCCTCCTGCGCCGCCACGTCCATGATGATCGCTTGTCGGTCGCTTCTCTTGTCGTCTTGAGATCGAGTAGACAAGATCCGCGGTCGAGCCACAAAAAAATAACTCTTCTTTCCGAGCGATTTTCTCAAAATTCTGAAAGAAATCGGTTTCCCCCGAAGACACGTTTTCGCATGCACTGGCCCATATACTCAATCTGCGGACAGCGTGCTGTTTCGTTCTTTTTGAACTCATCAGCGCAGCACAGAGGAAATGAGGCCGAACCTGATAGCAATGGAAATAAAAATTTCCAATCAGGCCCGAACGTACCTTGCCAGAGTGCTCAAACTGACAAGTCAGTGAGCTCTGCATCACGCAAACAGCAAAGGCACTACCCCACGCAAGAGTGCTCAACTGCTACAAGAGCAGGAGCGAAATACTCAATCTGCGGACAGCGTGCTGTTTCGTTCTTTTTGAACTCATCAGCGCAGCACAGAGGAAATGAGGCCGAACCTGATAGCAATGGAAATAAAAATTTCCAATCAGGCCCGAACGTACCTTGCCAGAGTGCTCAAACTGACAAGTCAGTGAGCTCTGCATCACGCAAACAGCAAAGGCACTACCCCACGCAAGAGTGCTCAACTGCTACAAGAGCAGGAGCGAAATACTCAATCTGCGGACAGCGTGCTCAGGTTTCGTTCTT